TAATATTGATTAGTAATCCTGTTTTGGGTAGGTTTGGATGAGGTAGACCAGAGGCAGCCTCCCAAAAAATATAAAAAAAATTGCAAAAAATAAAAAAAATTTTGCAAGATAGTTTAAGCATATTCTGCCAATAAGTTAATCAGTTTTAGGCCGTTTTGATGAATTTTATATCAAAATGAAGTTGTGAATGAGTTATTTCCTTTTGTTCTAAGATACAAGAGTTGTTTAATTAATAAAATTGTAAAATAACTTAAATAGAAATGTTTTTATATTTAATAAAAATATCTTAATAAATAAGAGGTTCAGAGATATATAACTAGGCTGCCTAAGTGTAAAATATATTAGGAACAACTTTACTTAGACATTTAAAGGTAGTTTACTTAATAAAATACTGAATAATAATCAAATGTTTGCAGCAGAATTTGGTACAAGTGATCATCAGAAAGAGTTAATGATTTGCATCAAAGTTTATTAATTATAATATAAACAAGATATATATAATTAATTAATATTTTAATTAATAAAGTTAAAGTCTAAGTTTGAAATACTTAATTGTCATTATATATAAGTTATAGCTTGTAAATTTGTTTGTTCTTTTTTTTATATTTTTGCACCACAAAGTATAACATTTTTTATCTTTTTAAAAAATTAGTTTTTTATCTTATATTGTTAATAAAAATCTTAATACTGAATTTAATACTAATAGTAAATTTAAAAGTAACATTAATACTAGCTATATTACTAACTTTGATAATATTTTTATAGTAATATTAATGACAATAATTCTGATGACTATGCTAATATTAATGATAATAGCAATTTTTACACTAATATTAATAATACTATTCAAAAAAAATTTTTAGACAATAATTATTCTGTATTATCAATTGTTATTAGTTAGACTTTTTCTAGTTAAAATTATGTAGAACTATATATAAATGTCTATGCTATAAAAAAAGAGTTCATAATAAGATTTTATTATACAGATCATAACATGAGCTTTATAACTAGAGCTGAAATTGTTTGTTAACATATAGTATTGCCAATAGTAAAAGTATTAAATTACAAAATACAAAAAGCGTTACTTTCAATTGTTTATACAAAATAATAATTTATTAAAAAAAGACTAAATATTATATAAAATTTGCTGTTTTTAAACATAACTATCCTATAAATACTGCTATAGCTATTTTTGATTCTAGTTATTGCAAACTAAACAATAATGAAAATAATTATATACAAATACTTTATAATAGTAGAATACCTATATCAATAATAATTCAAATGCTTAATAAGAAATATAGTAAATATATATAAAAAAAAATATTTATAATTTTTAAATTGGCAATCTTTTGATTATATTAAATAATTATTACAAATAGCAAAGCTTTTAAGTAATTTACATAATAAAAAAATGTAATTATCTATTTAATTAATAATAATAGGCTTTATTGTCTATTTTTTTACTAATTATTTAGCATTTACAATATTTAAATATTATCTGAAAGTAGTACTAATAGATGCTACATATAAAACCAATTAGTTTAAAATGCCTCTTTTATTAATTAGTAATAATGATATAATAGGTATTATATTTCTTATTGCTAATAGACTTTTTGCTAATAAAACTGTATGAAGTTGCTTTTAGATAATTAATTAATTAAAGCAAATTGGCAATTATATAGTAATTTGTAAAATTAAGACAATTTTAATAGATAAGAATCTTGTTTTACTTTCTACAATTTGATCTAAATTGTCACATATCAAGTACCAAATTTTTATATAGCACATTGAACAGAACATTGTCAAAAATTTAATTAACAAGCTTAATAATAAATTTATTGTATTTAGTAAAGTTTTTAAAATACTGATAATAGAGTTTAATATTGAACAATTTGAAATTCTTTGGAGTTATTTATAAAAAATATTCTAAGACAAGTAATTATATAGTACAGTAAAGATCTATTGCTTATATATAGGCATATTGCTATACAAATAAGAATATTAATTACAGTATAAGAACTATACAATGCTTAGAAGCTTGCTGTTCATATTTTTTATAAAAAGGCTGTAAGCATTAATTATATCAGTAATCATTAGATAGTTTTATTTATGAACATAAGTAATACAATGCAAACTAAAAAATGATTTAAGAACCAATTTAAAAAACAATTTGAAGAACAAGTTAAAAAACATGTTAAGAAGCAAATTGAGAGGCAATTTAAGAAATAACTTAAGAATAACTTGAAGAACAATTCGAGTAACAATTTAAAAAACAATTTAAGAACTAATTTAAGAAACAATATAATATTAAAAATAGAAATATTTTATTAAATGATATATCATCATCTTCAAACTATGAAACATGTAAAATACCTATTAATCAATAATTAACAGTTAAAAGTACTGCTAATTTACTTAAAGAAATTGAGGTAATATTTAATAAAGTTGGCCATTTTAATATCAATAGTAGCAACTGCTACTTCTAATATTATGATGTTCTTTACTGCTAGTAGGCTATTTTTAGAAGTTAATAAACTAGTAAACTAACAATATGCTATTAACTAATTTATTAAACACTAAGTTATATAACTATGATTATTCAAGTAAAACAACCTCCTATAGCTATTTATTATCCTTATTTTCTGCCTCTATTCAATATTATTATCATTATTATCATCATAATCTTTATTAATACTATTACTTTGGTCACTTTTATAATATGATTCAGACAAATTCCTATCATTTTTATCATCATTATTTTCATTTAATTTATGAGATTCATTGTAAGTAATTTTCATATTTTAAAAATTAAAAAAATTTCAAAAAAATAAAAGAAAAAATAACCGAATAGCAATTAATAAGATAATTAGTATTAGGTATATAGTAACTAATACTGATTTATTGGTTACTATATATAATAAATATACATTACTATATTATTTTTATTTAAAAGCTTCTGGAACCAAATATCAATAACTTCAGAATCAATTTTGGTGGAAAGATAATATTCATTAAAGATAATTTCCAATATTGCTTAGGTCCAGATAGCATTCATATAAGTCTGTTCATCTTCAGAAACAAAAACGTACTTTACAATTAAAGCAAGAAAAGTATCAGAATTTGGATTAGTTGGATCATTCAGATTATATAAGTCTTCATAAGCTTTTCTAGAATCCTGTTTCCATTGTTTCATTTGGTCTTTTGTATCGCATTTATTGAATAGTTTAATTCTACTAATGCCAAAGGTAGCCCAAAATCCTTTCTTAATGCAACAAACATAGTACCCTTTTTTCAGATGATTTGCTGCCAACATCTATATATAAACAAAGTTAATATATATATATTACATGTAACATTATTAAATATTATATATATATGTTACATATAATATTATTAATAAATACTGATATCTGAATATAATTTTTCATGCCACAATCTTTTGAATGAAAACCCTTTTTCTTCTAAAAAGTGCAAGTGTTCTGCACAATCTTTATTGTTTTCTAACTTATTTTTGAGTCACACTTTCATTTTGGCATCACTTATTTGCTTATAGTCATGAAATAATTTATATGAAAATTCTCTAACTGCTTCCTACAATACATGTAATAAATACATAGATGAATAATACAAAAATTAAATCTAATTAATGAGTTAAAGAGCAACTACTTGAAACAAATCATTTGCTGTTTTCTTCTATTTTCTTTTCTCTTTTCTTTTACCTATAGTAGGATTATGCATTCCTTCAGTATCATCCAACTTTTCAAGAACCTGTTCAAGCTGTTTTTGTTGTTTAGTAATAAGATATTCAAGTTTAGCTTGTCTAGTAATATGTTCAATTTGGGTGAAGCTTTTTTGTCCTATACTTAAAATCTTTGGCAGAGTTCGTAAATCAACAGGCAATAGCACTAATAAATAATACATTATTAGTCAATATATTAAAAGATAAAATACATATTAATAATATAAACATATTAATCTAGATTTTCATCATGAAGAACAGCAGAAGGAAAAGAGTTGACAATAACTTAAGGCTAAATTATAAAAGAATCATTATATTTTAAGTATTTTTTTTTTTAAAAAAATAAAATAAAATAAAATAAAACTTACAAAACTCATAGATGATTGTTTGCTAAACTTATTGCTAGTAGTAGT